GCGCATGTGATCAGCACAGGGCCAGTCGGCACTGTCCAGACAGAGTCAGAGGTTATGCAGCCTCATAGGACAGTCAGAGGAGAATGAAAACTCCTACAAGTTTAACCAGTACTCTGCTGGACACTGATAGAAGTCACAAGACTGCTCTATACTACTGATGAGAAAAGGTATTTAGCAGTTTATATTTACTAAAATAATTGCATTTCCATGTTCTGTGTACTGTGGGAGACCAGATAAAGTGAATGCAGGGTCCAGGGAGAGCAGATATAGTGAATACGGGGTCCGGGGAGAGAGGATATAGGGAATGCGGGGTCCGGGGAGAGCGGATATAGGGAATGCGGGGTCCGGGGAGAGCGGATATAGGGAATGCGGGGTCCGGGGGGGGAGAGCGGATATAGGGAATGCGGGGTCCGGGGAGAGCGGATATAGGGAATGCGGGGTCCGGGGAGAGCGGATATAGGGAATGCGGGGAACGGGGAGAGCGGATATAGGGAATGCGGGGAACGGGGAGAGCGGATATAGAGTGAATGCCGGGTCCGGGGAGAGCGGATATAGAGTGAATGCCGGGGTCCGGGGAGAGCGGATATAGTGAATGCGGGGTCCGGGGAGAGCGGATATAGTGAATGCGGGGTCCGGGGAGAGCGGATATAGTGAATGCGGGGTCCGGGGAGAGCGGATATAGTGAATGCGGGGTCCGGGGAGAGCGGATATAGTGAATGCGGGGTCCGGGGAGAGCGGATATAGTGAATGCGGGGTCCGGGGAGAGCGGATATAGTGAATGCGGGGTCCGGGGAGAGCGGATATAGTGAATGCGGGGTCCGGGGAGAGCGGATATAGTGAATGCGGGGTCCGGGGAGAGCGGATATAGTGAATGCGGGGTCCGGGGAGAGCGGATATAGTGAATGCGGGGTCCGGGGAGAGCGGATATAGTGAATGCGGGGTCCGGGGAGAGCGGATATAGTGAATGCGGGGTCCGGGGAGAGCGGATATAGTGAATGCGGGGTCCGGGGAGAGCGTATATAGTGAATGCGGGGTCCGGGGAGAGCGGATATAGTGAATACGGGGTCCGGGGAGAGCGGATATAGTGAATATAGGGTCCGGGGAGAGCGGATATAGTGAATGCAGGGTCCGGGGAGAGCGGATATAGAGTGAATGCGGGGTCCGGGGAGAACGGATATAGAGTGAATGCGGGGTCCGGGGAGAGCGGATATATAGAGTGAATGCCGGGTCCCGGGGAGAGCGGATATAGAGTGAATGCGGGGTCCGGGGAGAGCGGATATAGAGTGAATGCGGGGTCCGGGGAGAGCGGATATAGTGAATGCAGGGTTCGGGGAGAGCAGATATAGTGAATGCGGGGTCCGGGGAGAGCGGATATAGTGAATGCGGGGTCCGGGGAGAGCGGATATAGTGAATGCGGGGTCCGGGGAGAGCAGATATAGTGAATGCGGGGTCCGGGGAGAGCAGATATAGTGAATGCGGGGTCCGGGGAGAGCGGATATAGAGTGAATGCGGGGTCCGGGGAGAGCGGATATAGTGAATGCGGGGTCCGGGGAGAGCAGATATAGTGAATGCGGGGTCCGGGGAGAGCGGATATAGTGAATGCAGGGTCCGGGGAGAGCGGATATAGTGAATGCGGGGTCCGGGGAGAGCAGATATAGTGAATGCAGGGTCCGGGGAGAGCGGATATAGTGAATGCGGGGTCCGGGGAGACCGGATATAGTGAATGCGGGGTCCGGGGAGACCGGATATAGTGAATGCGGGGTCCGGGGAGAGCAGATATAGTGAATGCGGGGTCCGGGGAGAGTAGATATAGTGAATGCGGGGTCCGGGGAGAGAGCGGATATAGAGTGAATGCGGGGTCCGGGGAGAGCGGATATAGTGAATGCGGGGTCCGGGGAGAGCGGATATAGTGAATGCAGGGTCCGGGGAGAGCAGATATAGTGAATGCAGGGTCCGGGGAGAGCGGATATAGTGAATGCGGGGTCCGGGGAGAGCGGATATAGTGAATGCGGGGTCCGGGGAGACCGGATATAGTGAATGCGGGGTCCGGGGAGAGCAGATATAGTGAATGCAGGGTCCGGGGAGAGCGGATATAGAGTGAATGCGGGGTCCAGAGTTTAGTAACACTTTAATTGAAAGGTTCACATGCGGAAGGCAGTAAAGAGCTCCCAGCTCACTTCTATGCTAGCTAGAAAGATAAAACTAACTAAACGATTCCAACTACTTAACTTAAAACCAGCCCCTCCCCCCCACTGATCTTACCCTTTAGTTAGGTGCTTTTCTACCCCCACCTTGCTGCCCCAAGTCACAACACCCCCTGCTCAGAGTGACTTCCTCCCACCCAACCACCTTGCATCGGCTCATAGCGCCTCCTTTAGGAAATTATACAAAGTATTCTGACACAGTCAGCTCTATGTAAGGCTGACATCAGACAGGATGCAATGCCGCAAGCGACAACATCGCCAGCATCTGAATCGCCCTGTCCCGATGGAATTGCTCCCTCACCATCCCAAGCACTCCCCCAGAACACTGCCGAATTTTGATTGCTAGCTATGGGAGTGACATCTCATCGCCTCATCTACAGAGGAAGCAACTCCATAGGGTCAGGCAGGGCAGCCTTTTAGCGACCCTGACACTGGTGACCGACCTCTGTCCGCAGCATAATCGCTATGAGCAGAGATACCCATCTTCTATTAGCTTAAGGGCTTGGATACAGGAGGATGTGGGGGGGGGGGGGGGGAGAACATACTGGAGGCTGCCAGGAGGGGAAGAGGATACAGACAACTGCGGGGGGGGGGGGGAAAACATACAGGAGGCTGCGGGGGAGAACATACAGGAGGCTGCGGGGGAGAACTTACAGGAGGCTGCCAGGGTGTAGGAGAGGATACAGGAAGCTGCGGGGGGGGACATACAGGAGGCTGCCGGGGGGGGGAGAGGATACAGGAAGCTGCGGGGGAACATACAGGAGGTTGCCGGGGGAGAACATACAGGAGGCTGCCGGGGGAGAACATACAGGAGGCTGCCGGGGTAGAACATACAGGAGGCTGCCGGGGGGAGAACATACAGGAGGCTGCCGGGGTAGAACATACAGGAGGCTGCCGGGGTAGAACATACAGGAGGCTGCGGGGGGGAGAACATACAGGAGGCTGCAGATAGAGGAACCGAGAACTGCCCAGCCCGCTTCCTCTATGTACGACCCAGCTGCCCCACCTATCCGGTGGGAGAACATACAGGAGGATGCAGGGGGGGGGAGGGGGGACATACAGGAGGCTGCGGGAGGAGACCGTACAGGAGGAGGCTGCGGGAGGAGACCGTACAGGAGGAGGCTGCGGGAGGAGACCGTACAGGAGGAGGCTGCGGGAGGAGACCATACAGGAGGATGCGGGAGGAGAACATACAGAGAGGCTGAGGGAGGAGAACATACAGAGAGGCTGCGGGGGGGGGGGGGGGGGTGGTAGGATACAGGAGACTACAGACAGAGGAACGGAGAACTGCTCGGCCCGGTTCCTCTATGCACGACCCAGCTGCCTCTCCTATCCGGTGCCCTACGGCCAGTCCGGGCTGGTTTGGACCAATCCTGAGCTCCTCCCTACACCCGTTACCTATTGTAACCCCTCCCCCTCAAATCTCACCTTGTGACCCCCATAGAAGGTGATGTACCTCCTCAGCTCTATCCTCCACCTCCAGTATCTTCCCATCCCCATCCACTAGCCTAGGCTGCTTCGAGACTACGAGGTACAATAAAGTTTCTTCAATCTGGGCTCCACCCTTGGGTGTGTCCGCAGGAAGTGTGAGGTTGTGAGGTGATTAGAGTGAGCTGCGTTCTGACAGAGCTGTGTTTTGGCGGGAAGGTGAATTTTCTGTGCTGTCTGTGATTGTACGCGGTGTTTGTCCCCTTGTCTCTGTATACAGCGGGGTTACAGGACTACAAGTCCCAGCATGGCCTGAGAGGAGGGGGTATGTCTCCAGTGTCTGAGGGGGGCACACTATGCCCTGACACACACAGGCCGTATGCAGTACATACAATACATCCACATCCAGCCTTCCCCCGGGCCCCGGTGAAAGTCGGGAACAGTCGCAGAAGCCGTCCTGGGGGGGGGGGGTGCACTTCCTCCAGGACGGCTCCTGCTTATCCCGACTTTCTCAGCCCCGATCGGGTCGCCCCCTCATCCCTTTACAAGTGAACACATAATCACACATGTTCTGTGAACCAGCAAACACAAATGCTCCTGCGCTTGGGGATGGACTCGATGCTGCAACCACATTAAGAATGTCCTGGAACATGCACACCTTGCTGCCCTCAAATGGATCGGGGGAATCCAAATATACTGAATGAGGAAGACAAAACAGAGGGCGCACAGGTAATGCACTATGGTAATGCACTAGGCCTGTGCGCCCTCTGTTTTGTCTTTCCTCACACATGTTCTGTGTCTGATTGAGGTGCTAATTACACTCACTTGGTGCCTTACCTGCATTAACCCCTTCCATCCCGGGCACTTATACCCCCTTCCTGCCCAGGCTAATTTTTCAGGTTTCAGCGCTCTCACACTTTGAATGACAATTGCGCGGTCATACAACATTGTACCCAAACTAAAATTTTATCATTTTCTTCACACAACTAGAGCTTTCTTTTGGTGGTATTTAATCACTGCCAGGGTTTTTATTTTTTGCTAAATTAACAAAAAAAGACCAAAAATTAAAAAAAAACAAGTTTTTCTTTGTTTCTGTTATAAAAGTTTACAAATAAAGAATTGTTCTTCATAAATTTAGGCCGAGATGTATTCTGCTACATGTCTTTGGTGAAAATAACCCAAATTAGGATGTATTATTTAGTCTGTAGGAAAGTTATAGAGTTCACAAACTATGGTATAGATCTGAAAATTGATCAATCCTGAAGTACTGACAGCCAATCTAATTTTTTGAGGTCCAAGAATGTCCAAACAGTACAGATATCCCCCAAATGTCAGGACGGTACAGATATCCCCAAATGTCAGGACGGTACAGATATCCCCCAAATGTCAGGACGGGACAGATATCCCCCCAAATGTCAGAACGGGACAGATATCCCCCAAATGTCAGGACGGTACAGATATCCCCCAAATGTCAGAACGGGACAGATATCCCCCCAAATGTCAGGACGGGACAGATATCCCCCCAAATGTCAGGACGGTACAGATATCCCCCAAATGTCAGAACGGGACAGATATCCCCCCAAATGTCAGGACGGGACAGATATCCCCCCAAATGTCAGGACGGGACAGATATCCCCAAATGTCAGGACGGGACAGATATCCCCCAAATGTCAGGACGGGACAGATATCCCCCCAAATGTCAGGACGGGACAGATATCCCCCCAAATGTCAGGACGGGACAGATATCCCCCAAATGTCAGGACGGGACAGATATCCCCCAAATGTCAGGACGGGACAGATATCCCCCCAAATGTCAGGACGGGACAGATATCCCCCCAAATGTCAGGACGGGACAGATATCCCCCAAATGTCAGAACGGTACAGATATCCCCCAAATGTCAGGACGGTACAGATATCCCCCAAATGTCAGGACGGTACAGATATCCCCCAAATGTCAGGACGGTACAGATATCCCCCAAATGTCAGGACGGTACAGATATCCCCCAAATGTCAGGACGGTACAGATATCCCCCAAATGTCAGGACGGTACAGATATCCCCCCAAATATCAGGACGGTACAGATATCCCCCCAAATATCAGGACGGGACAGATATCCCCCCCAATGTCAGGACGGGACAGATATCCCCCCAAATGTCAGGACGGGACAGATATCCCCCAAATGACCCCTTTTTGCAGAGTAGACAGTCCGACGTACTTCATAAGAGGCATGGCAAGTTTTTTTAAGTTGTATTTTGTCATTTTACGGAAAATGAAAAAAATTATTTTCACTATTTTTTTTTTTACATATTGTCATCAGTGCAGTACAGTGTCATCATATAACTGGCATGGCGGTGATCAGGGACACTGACTGGTGACAGTATGAAAAAAAAAAAAATATTTTTTTATTATTTTTAATTTTTTATTACATTTTTTTTTTTTATGATTTTTTTTTCATATTTCACTATGACCAAAGTAGTACAATGTTACCATAGTAACATTGTACTACTATGGGGAAGTGATCAGTATTTTTTTTTTTTTTTTTTTTTACACAATTTGCTTATAGCAAAGAATTACTTTGCTATAAGCAAGCATTTACCAGAATGACATCGATTCATTCAGGGTTTTTTTTTTTTGTGCTTAGCTGTGATTTGGTCACAGCTAATCACATGACATGTGCATGTGACCTGCTGTGACCATTCACAGCTAGACACTAGTATACAATGGATGGCATGAATGAAGCCATCCATTGTATACAACTGTCATGTGACCTGCTATGATCGGTCACAGCAGGTCACATGGTACCGTCAATGGGGGCCGGCATTCAGATCTGTCATCGGCCGTGTCTGAGGTACACGGCTGGTGACAGATCGCGCGGCTCTGCAACCAACGCGCAAACTGTGCATGTGCGGGAGCACGCCAAATGGCGTGCACCCGGAATGCCGAAGCGTTTTTGCAGCCGCCAAACGGCCATAGGGCGGGCGGCTAATGGTTAATCACCGCTGGGGTTTTTGTTTTTTGCAAAACAAAAAAAACCTGAAAATTTTACATCTGGCTATAGGCTGGGCATCAACTGGTTAAATTCCCCTCAGAAACTCATTCAGTGTCATTCATATGTGTTCGGGTGTACAGGGATGAGGCAGCAACCCTCAGCCCCGCCCACTGCCTACAAGTCCTGGAGGAGGCAGACATTTGTGGGCATTTCCAGGGGTGGGAACTAACAGCACCTGGGGGGAGGGTGGAGCCTGTCACCTGGGGGGAGTTCAGAGCCTGTCACCTGGGGGGAGGGTGGAGCCTGTCAGCTGGGGGGGGGAGGTTGGAGCCTGTCATCTGGAAGGAGGGTGGAGCCTGTCACCTGGAGGCAGAGGGGAGGTTGGAGTCTGTCAGCTGGGGGAAGGTGAGGCTTGTCACCTGGAGGGGGAGGGTGGAACCTGTCACTTGGGGGGAGGGGTAATTGGAGCCTTTCACCTGGGGAGGGAGGGGGGAGCTTTTCACATGGAGGGTGGAGCTTGTCACCTGGAGGGGGAGTGGAGCCTATCACTTGGGGGGGGAGGGTGGAGCCTGTCACCTGGGGGGGAGGGGAGGGTGGAGCCTGTCAGCCTGGGGGAGGGTGGAGCCTGTCACCTGGAGGGGGAGGGGTGGGGTGGAGCCTGTCACCTGGGGGGGGAGGGGTGGTTGGAGTCTTTCACCTGGGGGGGAGGAGAGTTTGGAGCCTGGTCACCTGGATTGGAGGGGAGGGTGGAGCCTGTTACTTGGGGTTAGGGAAGGTGGAGCTTGTCACCTGTGGGGGAGGGGGGGGGAGTGGAGCCTTTCACCTGGGGGGGGAGGGTGGAGCCTGTCACCTGGGGGGGGGGGGAGGGGGTTGGTGGAGCCTGTCACCTGGGGGCAGCAGGGTAGGGTGGAGCTTGTCACCTGGGGGGGGGAAGGGTGGAGCCTGTCACCTGGGGTAGGGGAGGGTGGAACCTGTCACCTGCGAGGGAGGGGAGGGGAGTGGAGCCTGTCACCTGGGGGGGAGGGTGGAGCTTGTCACCTAGAGGGTGGGGAGGGGAGAGTGGAGCCTTTCACCTGGGGAGGAAGGGTGGAGCCTGTTACCTCATGGGGGGAGAGAGGGGTGTTGGAGCCTCACCTGAGTAGGGGGTAGGTTGGAGCCTGTCACCTCACAGGGGAGGTTGGAACCTGTTACCTCATGGTAGGGGGGGGGGGGTGGGGTTAGGACCTTTCAGTCACGGTGGGGGGTGGAGCCTGTCACCTCACAGTAGGGGGTGCAGGCTGTCATGTCACGGTAGGGGGGTGGGGTTAAGACCTGTCACCTGATGGTTGGGGGCGGAGCCTGTCACCTGAAAGTCATGCAAAGTGTGACAGCGCTGAGCTCTGAAAGCTGTCTGGGCAGGAAGGGGGTGAAGTGTCCGGCATTGAAGGGGTTAAGCCCTTTCAATCAGCTCGCTGCGGTTTCCTGGTAGTGCGGGTGAAGCGCAGTGTATCTGGGAGTGTCATGTGCGTTTCCTGCGCTCTCCCATAGACTTCCACTAGATCTGGTGATTTTGGTGTTTTCTGAGAGCGCATCAGGGATGCAGCATGCCGGAGCTTTGTTGTGCTTTCAGAAAACACCAAAATCGGCAGATCTAATGGAAGTGTATGGGAGAGCGCAGGAAACGCACATGAATGCCGCGGCTACACTGCGCTGTGTGAAAGGGACCTAATAGTATGCCGTACAGCACTGCCGAAATATTGCCGTCTGTTCCTACACTGCATCTCCACACACACAGATTGTAAGTCAGCAGCAAACGTTGGGGTACCTCTAGGAATTGTTAGCAGAAACTTTCCAGGCTTAACCACCTTAGCTCCAGAAGATATTACCCCCTTCATGACCAGGCCGTTCTTTGCAGTTCGGCACCGCGCTACTTTAATTTGTGATTGCGCAGTCCTGCAACGCTGTGCCCAAGCAAAATTTGTATCTTTTTTTTCACACAAACGGCCATTTCTTTTGTTGGTATTTGATCACCGCTGAGTTTTTTGTTTGCAATATAAACAAAAAAAAATATTTCCAACTTTCTGCTATAAAACATATCTAATAAAAAATATAGCGGGACTGTGATAGTACGGTGGGCAATCTGACACTAACTGACACTTTGTGGGAACCGGCTAACTGCCACTGACATCTCCATTGACACTAACAGTCATCAGTGCTAATAATATACACTGTCACGGTACTGGCTGGGAAAGGGTTAACATGCGGGGCATTCATGGGGTTACTTGTGTGCTGTGTTACGTGTTTACTGTGTGCTGTTTTTATTAATGGATTTGCGTTTTTATTTTACCTTCTTTGTAGGAAGACCAAAACCCGGCACATTGCCACTGTCAGGGCAGAGCTCTGTGTTGTTTGCAATCACAGAGCTTTGTCCTGTCATCCAATCGGCACAAAACATTACAAATAAATGTTTATACTGATTAATGGATGAGTTCACTTTTTAAAAAAAAAAAAAAAATAAATGCATTTCTATTTGTAGGTAAAAAAGAGCATTTATTATATTTTTACATTCCAGTCTGCAATGCATTGTACCTGTGATCAGCAGATTGCGGGTGCAATGCCTGGATCCTGCAGACTGTCGGTAAGCTGCCTGCACCTCCTACCAGCAGGAAGCATCATTGGACTATGAGAATGCTCACCAGCGCCCTCACAGTCCATTGAGAACTACAAGCCGTCTGCTGCAATGGCTGATCTTACTTGTAGGCGTTCATTCACAGGAAGCTGAATGAATGACGAGGCTGTGTGGGCGGAGTTGAACTGTGGCAGTGGGTGCTGGGAGGAGATCCCCGGCCTGCTGTCACAGGGAGGGGGGGAGGGAGAGGAGGCAGCAGATGACCATGTTACATGTTCCACCCTAAATATCGGTGGAACATGTTCCAGAAGGTGAACTTTTCCCATACAATTCAGCAATACCCTGCTCTGCACATGCTCAGTTGCACTTGATTTTTAGTCAATGTGCCAAAAATCAGAGTCATTAGAGGCCAATCTTCTGACAGCCTAATTACTGCTGCTCAGGGGCTCTGGGCTTCAGCAAAATGGCCGCCTGCAGCAAGAATACACAGGATCATTGCTGGAGGCCATTTACAGCACACACTCATTTTAGCAGCATAATTATTAATATGGACAGTATATTCCTTGTTAAAGAACGTTATATTTTATCAAGTTGTTATTAGTAAAGATCCGCTTTTCTAGACTGACAATGTACCTGTCCAAATATGCCACCTGTGCTCCTTCATCCAGAGTGGGGGCACTCTAATACAGGTAGGTGTGTTACTGGGCAGACTAAAAAAAAAAAAAACCAATGCAGCCTCCAAATGTAATGATTGGTAAGCTGCAATACTGTATGCTACATGTATGGCTTGGGGTTTAATACCAGTGGTGCACCGAAATGAAAATTCTGGTGCCGAAACCGAAATTCAGGATGCACTTGGCGGAAAATCCGAAACAGACATTTTTTTTAATTTAAGTCACGTGACTGGCAATTTTGCATTGAAGTCAATGAGGACTCAACTGTGCATGAAAGACTATGAGATGCAATTTTGTATTGAAGTCACTAGAGGGCGTTTTTGCATGAAAGTCTATAAGATGAGATTTTACATTTATCGGCACTTTTTCTCCTATCGGCAAAATGCGGACAACACTGTTTTCGGCCCCCGATATATCGCTGCATCCATGTTTAATACGGCTTTAACCACCTGCTTGTATTGGGCCGGCTACACTGTATGCATTTGTCATTTTGATTTCTGCATTTGAAATAAA